GGGGGGGGGGGGGTGTGGCAGCGGGCCGGGCCCCCCCCGCCATATATACCACTGTGACAGTAATCAGTATCATTTTATTGAACTGATGTAATGAGTACACGGTTGTTACAGCAGATTTTACACCTCTGGGCCCTGTATTTGCATCTCTGCTATGCTGCTTTTATGTTCCATTGATCTCTAGTTCAAAAAAGATTGCTATAACATCTCTTGTCAATAGAGTGTAATTAGCCCAATTAAAACGCCTCTTAAGAACTGACCTTGAGTTTTGTTATTATCTTCCTACAGTATTTTCAGAAGTTTGTCAACATAAGAACCAGAAAAATATGGCAATCCATTGTTTCTAAAGCACAGGGAAGCAGTTTATTCTCTATTTGAAAATAGCTTTTACATGGCTATAGTAAACAGCTTGAAACCCTACATTAATAATATAGATGGCACATAAATATGACACCTGTCAATCAGATTTTTGTCTAGCTTTCAAATGGAAATATGCTTAGAGAGGAAAAGAGATTAAAACATTATGGTTGTACTAGTTATAACCTCTGTAAAAGAAGAAAGCTCTTTAAAGCCAAAATTCTCCAATATATTCCATGGGGAATATTCTTCCAAACATACTCAAGTTTGCAAGTCAGGAGTCTGAAAGAAGCCTTGGCAAAATTGGGAATATAAAAGCTGAGTTTCCACGGAAAAGTATCATAAAAACGCAGGTGTTGGGTTTTTTTATGAGATATCACAAATGGGATTCAGCTTTTCTTTGATCATTGCTGAGCTTAAGCTTTAACATCACTATCTTTTAGGGATCTTACCTCCTTCTGCGTATTTTTCATCTTTGACACAGGTGTCATGTAAAGACCCATTTGGATCACAGGAACATGGCCGGCATGGATCTGGACTATCTGGCAATACCTTTAACAAATAGTTTAAAAACAAAATCTTAACTTCTAGAATTGGACACTTTCATTTACTTCTTAAACAAAAAGTAGGAGAGAATGACTTCTGTGTATGTAGCTTGCACTTCCACAAAAATTGCCAAACTTAACCCATGCAGTCTAGGCATTAAAGACACATTTTTTATTTTTATTCAGAAATATGTAAGTGATTTAGATACCAATATGTTTTCATCTGAAAAAACAGATGTAGACATAATAACAGACCCTTGTATCATTGAAAGTAATAAATGTAACGAAGTAGATTTTAAGCATTCACTACCTAAAGTAATATTGACAAATAGTTCATGTTCCAGCCAACATGATTCAAAAAACTAACTAAAGTTAGTTAGTAACTGAACAAAAATGGTAAGTAAAGAAAAGTGAACATATCGACAATGGAACAATTTCCTTTTGTTCTTGAAAATGTTACCTCAACCAAACATATCCTTAGTCTAATATCACACTGGGAATATAAACTTAAAGTTCTGCATGAACTAGGTATATACACATACTATAGATACACTATACACACACACACATATATAAAATCCCTATTAGTTGAATGATAACCTGATTCAGAGGAAAAAATCAAGTGCCCTGCTGTTGAAGACATCAGTACTCATTTCCCCAAGCTTTAAGGCTAAAACCAGTATATTAAGGAGTGTGTAATTATTGTTATTTGCTGATGTTTTCTGTGTTTGAGGATTGAAAACCAATCAGACTAAAGGCCATCATTTACCCAACTGAAACTATACAGGCAAAATATCAGGAATTTAAGCACACGCTATTAATGTAGCTGTCTAAAGCACAGGCACAGCCCATATTGTCAATACAACCTAATATAAGATACATCTTCTGACAGCTTCAACTTAGATGAAAATACAGCCTTATATGATGAAACACAAAAACCAATTCCCACTGCACTGAAAATGAAAGGCATCCATGGGACACTATAGCATTTCAGTGATTATTAATTCTACATTACATTTTAAAAATAAAAAATTACAGACTCTCCAATATAAAATACAGCAATATTTCTTTGATCTTTGATAACAAATCTTGAAATTCATTCCTGAGGCAAAAGTTCTGTTTACAGAACCACATCCTCCTTTAAATTAAATTGAAATACAAGCTGGAGGCCTTGACCTCAAGTGCATTCCTTTATATCAACACAATTCACTTTCAGATTTCTGTGTTAACTTTACAGATTTCCAGCTGTGAAAAGCCACTACTACACTGTCAGAATTAGAAGTTAACCTTCATAAAAAGGCAGTCCAAACTGCGTAATCTCTTTTTAATAACTTAACTCCCCATAACGAATTGATGGTTTGAATGACAAGCTTTACAGTGAAGTGACAACTGAACACGCATTTACCCCTTTAGGTCTGAAGTAACCGTCGATGCAGGTCTCGCAGTTTATGCCACCGGTGTGGCTTGTACAATTCACACACACTCCGCCCCCAACGTATTCTCCATGGACATTCAAACTCTGATTTCTGTCTGCAACATCCTGATCATAGTAACACTCCTCAGTCTTCCCATGACAGTTGCATGCTAAAAGAGAAGGAACTGTCTTAGAAAATACTTTCTGGCTGGAGATGCCATGCTCTTACCAAGATATTAAAAAGAGTCGTTCAACATTTTACCATTGGTGCTGCATCCATTGTAACTGACAGCACATCCAAGCATTAATTTACCACTTCAGCTGTGAAAAGTGGTCCCACCACAAATGCAGCCTGGGATGCTGTACACTGTATTTTTTTTCTCTACATTTTGTCTGGGGGAATATGGAAGTTGACAGCCTAATTATGTTCTTCCTGTTTTGTTTTAGTTTTTTTTTTTTTCTGTTTAAATCGATAGTCCAGAAACCTTTTGGTGGTTGAACACACATAAGGTTCATGAAAGAGTCTGAATTTAAAATACAAGAGGAATTATATGAAAAGCAGCAGAATGGTATGAGTAATTAAAATAATTTCCATGAAAGCTGAAAGACATCCTAAAAACACTTGGTTTGCACATATGCATATAAGAACAGGGTCACAACACAGAGATTCCCAATCTTAAAACTTCTTCAGAAGTTCAAATTTGATCTCTTAGGCTTCAGGTCCACATGCAGGAGAGCTAAGCTAATAATCTGTTGCTGTGAAAATGAGGTAGCTCTCTCTCCCTTCCCCTCTGGTATTAAAACATTCATTTCCACATAAAGAGAAATTCAAAGCTCATAAACATTGTAGGGAGTCATTTTCCTCATATCTGAACCAGATCCCAGGGAACTATTTCCACCGTGAAAGCATAACAATTCACTGAGGGTTGAACTGGGCATAAGACTTCTTTCTCTTAAAAATTAAACATGAGAATAAATGTACCCTGATTTCATTCCAGAATGCATTCCCAGTGCAGACACAGTCCCTACTGAAACAAAGACCTCTGTGACCAGTTTACAGGACATAAATAAGCAATTACTACTTTTAACATGGGGATATATGTTTCTTTTTATTTATTTTTGACCACTCATGGTAAAACTATAGCTGCAATCCTGCAATTTAATAAACATTTACACGTAATGGAGCACTAGATTTTATTATGTTCAGAAATATAACTGGTATGTGACCTTTGGAAGTAAGATGTTAAAGTTCAATTATAACTATCCTTAGTACAGTGAATCTGAAAATGAAATTCCCACCCTGTGGGAAGGTGATATTTCAAGGTATGTTTTCATTCCATGTTGGAAAACTAGATACATTGATTTTTGCATTAAAAAAATCAGAAACTCAAATTGCATTTTGATCGTGTAAAAATATTTTGTTTCAGCAAGGCTGAACATTATAATATACAAAAATGTCATTTAAACAAAAATCGTGCCATTAAAGTTTAATATAATGAAAAATCTGTGGAAAAGATTTTTACTTTTCAGGATACAGTCCTGTTATTTTATCAAAATAAAACCACCACAATTATAAAAATTAAACAAGTCAAAATTATTTTTTTTATGCAGTATTTCACCAATATCATCACATTACACTAAAATATTCTGAGTTCAGTAAAACCATGGATCTACTTTTTCGAGGCAGCCCAAGTAAGTGAACAGCTGATTCATAATGAAATGTGGTTAGAAATAAAATTAATTGCAAAATCATGGAGGATCTGATTTCCTTTTCACCAGCAGTTGCAATAAACTTTCTATTCCATACCACTTTCAACTTACGTTCACATTCATGCTTAACCAGGAAAGTGCCAGCGTGCCAAGGCTTTTGATTGAAACCAGGACAACACCGATCACATGTCTCTCCGCATGTGTTGTGCTCACACTGACAGATGGATTTCTAATTTAAAAGAAAAAGAAATATTTACACAATGTGATGATTTGAAGAATCTGTCCATGTACATAATCTGCATTCCAGTTCAAATTATGAAAACATTAAGAATGGCTAAACTCTGTAATTCCTCTGTTTATTCATTTATGTACACTGCATTCACCAAGCGAGAGACAAAAGAGTGTGTTTAACTTCTATAGTTCTATTTTTAGAAAACAGCCATGGTGCAAAGGAAAATAGTTGGCCAGAGAAGCTAAAGAGAATCTAAGAATGTAGGAGAATCTAATTCCAACTGGGTGAAGAAAGGAGGATGTGAATATGAAAGTTCCCCATTACAGCAAATAAGCCAAAGTGCTGGTAGACCTCAGATACAGCTTCACATCACAGGATAGCTGATCTGCCACCTATCTTACACTGCAAGGAGTCAGCCATCCTCCACCGTTCCCTTGGGTGTAGCAATCCTGCAGCTGCAGAGTGAAATCAATTTTGTTGGCTGATGCATTAAAAATTGCCTTTTAACTTTCACATTAATTTTTTACTGGATGAGTCAACTCATCATGTAACCTTCTAACTGCATAACTAGTTCTATGTGAGGGATAGCAGAAGTTTTTAAACTGACAGGACATGAGAGCAGGACCACCCTTTCGTTGGCTTTTCAGTTTCTCAGCAGATCACTGTAGTCGCAGCTTAGTCCCAGCACGAAAATATTGCTGCAGGGAACACCCAAATTCTCTGAGCCAGAGAAGCAGCTTGGAAAAGATAAAAGAAACTGTAGTTTGGAGAAATGAAGAACAAAAATTGCCTTCCCAATAGTAATTCAGTGGATGGGATTCTCTGTGGTCCTTGTGAAGCCATTCAAGGTCAAAGCAGCAAGCTAACCTGAGAAATTCTACGGCTTACAGGACAAAGCATAAATCTTGCAAAACAAGTTTAACTTAAGGAATGCTTCAGAAAAGCAAGGCAGTAAGTTCAAGCAAGTTTAGTCTTTGTAATGCTAGGGGAAAGTTTCATTGTGCTACCAACTACAGTCATGATGGTTATAACCAAAACCCATCTATTTTGGTATGATTCAGTCTAAAAAGTATCCCTGGAGAGCTAAAACAAATACTCCAAATCTCTTATGGCTTGAGTTGTTTCTCTCATGCTATTTTTTATATGGGACAGACAACAAATATGTATTTGTCATCCTGCAAAACAAGACACCCCACTTGTCAAAATGCCTTTATTTTATCTAGCTGCCAAACTATCTGAAGTATGTATTAATTGCAGTAACAGCACTTACTTTCTGAGTTAGGCCCAATTCTAACAGATGACACTGAGACAATGCTGCAGTTTGATAACTCAGGCCATCTGAAACAATAGTTCGACACTTGCTATACATATCATCACAGAAAAGGCTTAGAAGGATTAAACCAAGGAATTTGTAAAATTTTTACACGGATCCATGGAAACTGCTTAGAACTGTAAATGCATTGTCTGTACGATTTCTTCCAGTTTTGTTTTTTCTTATCAGTTCCTACACATGGGCTTAATGTCATATATGAACAAGATTTTCTGTTAAATCCTACAAAGCTCCTACTTAAGTGAATAGTATATGAAGAGATCCTACACTGTGGCACATTAGTAACACTAGTAGATTGGAAATTGTCTATTAGTGATAATGTGTACATAGATTTGGACCATCAGTAACAAATTATATTTCTTTATTTCAATTATATTGGTTATGTGTTTATTAATGGCGCAGAAAGAAAGCTACAAGTTGGAAGATTTTATAAACAGCTCATGATTTTCTAGACTAGTTTGACTGATCACTCAATTAATATTTCCTGCATAGTAAATGCACCGTTCTAGAGCCATCATTTGTTTGCAAGTATCTATTAAAGATTTGACAGTCATTTAGGAAACACCTTGATTAATATCAACAAGGAAAAGAAAGACTGTTAGTGCTCACCTCTGCAGCTACACAACACAACCCAAATTTCTGTTGTTCCTAGGAAACCTTCAATATGGACTGAATTATCTGAAACCTATTCTTTCATTTCAGAGAAAGTCTCTGCTGACATTGTATGAATGTTTATTATCCTGGTTGCCAGCACTGTTTCATCCTGGCACTGCTTCTGACTGTTGTTCTAGGTGAAGAATATACATAAATTCACAGAACTCTGAGGAATATCAAGATTTTTTTTCTCATGTTCCACCCTATGAATAAGGCACATTAAAAAAAAGAAAGAAAAAATAAAAATACATACATTGGTCACTGGATCCAGTGGACAAGCCTTCGCATGGCCTGAACATATACACATGCCTCCAACAGAGATATCTTTTATAGAATAGTAATACTGTAAGACAAAACAGAAATTGTATTGCTAAGTGGATTGTAAAATGCAGGTGCCAAACTGCAGAATTAATTTCTGGTGACAAAACTGTCAGGTCCTGTTTTATTTCTTTTTTGATCTATTACAAATATAGCAGACAGTGTAATCCAAGCTGCATCCTGATCAACAGATTCAGGCTTAGTGAAAGAAAAGGTATAAATTGGCACAGTTCCATTTGTTTGAAGTCACAAGAGCCATGTCAATTTATACACAGCATACACCAAGCACGAGAACAGGAAAAGGCTATATGCACACTGGATAATGAAAAGTCAAATTCTATAGAATTTATTCCCTTCAGAAAACAGGAAAAGGAAAAGGCATGATGATGGGGAGAAGAGAAAGGCTGGAACAAAACCTAAGAAAGAAATACCTTTGTTCACCTTAGCTGGGTTTTACTTGGGCATTCACTGGACTGTGGAAAGAAGAACTATTTTTTACTATTGTACTTTTGCATGACTATGGAATAGTCTTCATTACTGAGATTTAAATAACTTTGGACCTGCTGCTCTGCCATTTGACCCCTTATATTTTTTCTTTGGTGGGGATTAATAGCCCTAACCAGAAAGAAGGATGGAAAGATATTTATAATCGTGTATTATGACATCTGTGAAAAGTAAATCTCACATGTCATCTTGTCCATTTTCATTTATTTTGGTGAGGGTCCTGTAACATCCTCAATTAGCCTCATTGGCTAATCAAAACAAACATATGCTATTTGCAAATTTTGCTGTTTCTGTGTTCTCTTTTTCAGATCATTAACATATACATCGAACAAAATGGGAACTCACATAACTCACAGTTAACCTTCTACCACACAGAAAACGTATCATTTGTAGCTACTCTTTCTTGCCTGTTTTGTGGAATAGTGCCTTGTCTCATGTCTTCTATAGGGGAAGTCAGACAAGGATGGCAAGTTTCAGTTGCTCTTTGTTCTTTTGAGGCCAGCCTCACGGAGAAATGTCATACAGAAGTTATTGTTGTTTGCTGGTTTGAGAATCTGTGGATCATTGTGCACTAGCTTTTAATGAGTATGCAGTGACTTTTAAAGTGTGAATTCAATTTTCTTGTTTCTGTTCACTTAGAATCATATTATTAAATATGCACTCTTATGTAAACACAGTTTGCATGATTAGTGAGGCTGCAATAACTGCACTCAACTGGAAGGGTTTCAGGGTTTGTAATACAAACCAGAATGGCACATTCCAAACTTCCAGGAATAGCCAGCACTCTGTGTGTTTAGAGGAAGAAATGGAAACCAGAAATGGGGAAGAGAAGAAGCAAATTTTCTTTGCATTTACCCACCATCGATAAATGATATTAACTAAAGCCAAGAATAACAATACTCGCCCTCCCTAACAGGACTTACTACAGCGTATGTTGAACTATCCAAAAGAAAAATAAGATAACCAAGAGAAAGAGGAATTGAGCAGAAAGAAAAAACATGAAAAGGTATACAGCCAACAGCTTTTAATAACACTTGGGAGAAATATCAGAGGAAAAATAGAATAACACGCAACATTTAAGCAGCAGGAAACAGGGAGATGTGGCATAGGAAGAAAGTACAGATTGCAGAAAGAAAAGCTAGGGACATGCACACACAAGGAACAGTGGAGAAGACCGGGCTATGGTGTGAGTTTGAGTGCTGCATCCATTCCTTTAAGCTAAAGCACAATGTAAAATTTTTACTGTTAGCAACAATCATATAATAATGCTAAAAGTATTGTATTCAGGCCCTACTACTACTTATAGTACAACTAGTAGAAATTCTACTTCAAGGATGTGTTCAAGGAATGTTAAAGGTATCAAAGGATCGAGCAGCAGAAGAGGCGAGAGGACATTATCTAACAGCAGCCACTTGCCAATTACCCGCATCCAAACATTTGCAGTCAAAGGAGCTGTGTGCTTATGTTAATTAGCATGTTATGTATGTTAATAACACAATTAAGTAGAAAAGATAAAACTGTTACTTCTGCTATAGAGAAGATAACAAATTGTTGTGAAAAGGGAATTCTCTAACACCAGGATTTTGACAGATAACAACAGGTATTCATCATCTTCCAAAATTTCTTATGGCAAACAAAGGGAGGTACAGCATCTACAAGTGTAAGAGAACTTCTACAGATGCATTTCTACTATCTTGCCATAACTTACCCTTCTTGTAACAATGGGATCAATTTCATTTGGATCTTTGTGTGCGAACATCATTAAGTCAGCATTTAGTGTCCGTATTCTCTGAAATCTCAGGCGAATAAAGCGAGCAGATGTGAATTCTAGTAATACACGTGAAGGGTCATCAGCACTAGGCCGTCCATTAATTAGAGAAGTGTGAATCTGAAGAGAGAATTATTAAAGCAATAAGGAATTAGATGGCAGCAATGCTGCCATGACTATACCAACAAACACCATTAAAAGCACTGTGTGAATGCCTTTGTAAATGTAAAATGCCTCCTTTTTTTTAGTGAGATTTCCCCTCAAAATATTCCATGTACCCACAGGCCCCAGTAACGGAGAGGCTTTACAGTAAAAATGTTTTGAGCAAAGGAAAGTCATCAGCTACAGAAAGACTGTAGCACAACCTGCATACGTGAACCACGGTGTCTATGCTGCAGGCAACTCATTTCTGCTTCTCTATTCTAAAATAGGTATTTTCAAGTTATTGAACAACCAAAGGGCTCAAAAATGTTGAGGTAAAGAATGGATACTTGGAATGGGACACAGAATTCAACAGAGGTTAGTTTGCACCTCTTAGAGTGGTCATTATCAAAAGACTTTTGAGCTAGGTGTTTTCTAAAGCCAGGATAAGGTAACTTCTGAAATACTGAAAACTACAACAACGAAATGAGACAAAATTCATAAGCATCTCCCCTTTCTCACTGTCTCTTTACAAAATACATCATTTCCTTTGAATCTTGTTCTCAGCAAGTTGAGGCAATTTCCTGGGCTGCAACTGTTTTCACCTGGTCCCAAAGGAAAGTCTTTATCGCTTCCGAGAACGCTGTTCAGCATTTGTTTTTCAAAAGATGCTACCAATCTCTACTTACACTGTGGTTTCTGTAAAGATTGCCCCCCTTTCTCTGTCTGCCCTATCCTAAAATCTAGAAATCTAAGTAAGTGTGCTCTGTTCATAAAGAGACTCTCTGACTCATCAAGGGCAATGCAACAAAAACAAGCAATCTTCTTCCTGAAGAAGCAGCTGATCATGGCATACATCAGCTGTGAATCAACAAAATACAACAGATGGGCTGCTACAGAATTGTTCTTGGAAAAGGCCTACAAGAAGAAGAATGTCAGGTATAGCAGAACATTGTTAATGAGCACCTAGGGGGAGGGAGGAAAGAAACCATTAATTTTCCTGTATTCTGAAGTGTTAAGTTTTAATTGGGGAATTTTTATTACACTCTGCTACACTGAAAGAATGTTCAGATGCTGAGCCAAACGTATGGAACATTAGCATGAATAAGAGAATTATTCATTCTTTGCAATGAACACATTGTGCACCTTGCCTCAACGCTCTGAGATGTCAGGCCACACAGCCATTTTCTATCACTGAACATGATCATATTACCACTGTTTTAGGCAAACAACTGTACTTAGAATGCCAGCTGGCACTCATTCAGCAGTGGCTGCCTCACACTGAGGAAAGTGATAGCAAATCTACTGCTCCCAGCAAAGCAGTAGCTCTTCCTTTGCTGGAGTTTTTGCAGGTCCTGGATAGAAGGTTTATTGAACAACTGCTGTCTTGCACTGGCTATGTGATACTATTAATTTATTTTCACTACGAACAGGGAAATCCTAAACCTCATCACGTCCAGCACCCTGCTCCATTTGTATCCACAGGTACACAAAATCACTGGGAGCCACTCTGCCAGAAGCAACTATCAGTCATACCTTGCCTAAGTATCAATCAGCACTTCTAGGCTTCTGCCGTGTTATCTCCAGGAATAGGTGCTATTGCTACCTCCTCCTGAGATCATAACAACACTCTCACTTCGAGCTCTGATTCAATTTTGCTCCCAACTGCAAGTAATTAAATTAAAGCAGACAGTTGGCTGGAAACAAACAGAATAAAATACTATGAAAAAGACAGGGTACAAATAAAAGATTATGATAAAAACCCCAGAGGAAGCAAGGAAGGGCTCCTGAATGAGAAACATCTGGGTACACGCAGGACAAAAACACGTGACCAGAGAGAGCAAAGTGCTCAAGTCCCCAGTGAAAAGAGAGAGAGAAGAACATGTGTGGAGAGTAAACTTCAAAAGAAGCCTGGAGATGGTGGCAATAGGTCCAGTGGAAATTGATAGATCTTTCCAAAAGAATCAAGATTTTAGTAAGAACACATGCCTAAAGACTTCTTTGCATAAAATTTACTTGTAAGCAAGGAAATACATTTCTTTTGAATGTTGTTTCACACTGTCACCTCCTTCTTTTAGACATGATCCAAGAGATTTCTTTCTTACAGGCATCAAACATAGGTAGGTTATGGTTTAAAGCAGTAGAATACTAAGAACTGAACTTTGATATTCCAGAGATAAGAAGAATATATCTAAAGTAGTGCTGAAAACATCCCCTAGCTCACCCTGAAACAGCAATAGCACCATGGCTGTAAGCAGCATGGCAGTCTGACCATCTCATCAAAAGGACAAAAAAATTAAGCTTTTGGAGGTGGGGCAGAAAGATGCAGGTAAAAGCCCATGTATCAGAATAAGCAAGTACCTACAGAGAGTTAGAAGCATGAATCACAGACACAGCTTGACCCCAAATGACACAGCTGACAAACAGTAGTCATATCTGTTGATTTATATTTTTCTGATAAAGAACAAATTTAGTCTTAAAGACACCAATGGGAAAAAACCCCACCACCTTGGAGTGGTAGTTTTACAAAATTAAAATGTAAATTAACAAAACAAAACAAGAGGCATACTTTTCAGAACAGACCCCTTTAAAACGTTTCATGTATCTATCTGCCAGCAGCACATCTATTTGGAAAGGCTAAACTAGGAGAGGTGATGACTTTCATTTATATTGTCTTCCATGCTTGTGTTTAAATGTTTCACGACTTCATTTTAAAACAACAAACAAATAATTTGTCATAATTTCTGAAATGCAGTTATGTTCTGTGTGAAACGTGTCGCCTGTTCAAACATGTCCACCAAAATGACACTGAGATTAGGAAATTAAAAATGGGTAGTTTTTATCAAAATGAATCTGAAGGGAAAATTTTACACAGGCAACATTAATCAGTCTACATTATTTCTCCTCCTCTCAACATCTGCGATGAAATCATTAATTTCTCCCTAGAAACATTTAGAATCAACTTGAAGAGTGTCCAACTAAGTTGTTCCTACTCTTTGAAAAGAGAATAAGGAAGAAACTAAGAGTACTTTGGGAACATCTGTCATTAATCAGGAATGAACAGCAAGAATTTTAAATAATTTTTTCAAAGACTTCTGAGTAGAAATCAGACTTACAATATTTTTATTATGACTCTCACAATGAGACATCGCTGTGTTTTTCCAGAGCCCACCTCTTTCCATCTCCCTCCACAATCTTGCACCTATTTGTAAGACACTATTCGGATGATAGCGCATTTTCACTCCAGACACTAACATGGCCTCTACCCTCCAAATATTTTTGAATCAGGTCTGAAAACTGTTCCAGTGAACACAATCCTCAATATCCATCTATTATTATACCATCCAAGATCATCATAGTACTTCATATATAGCTCTGAGTCCTGCAAAGACTAGTCCCATTTTCACACAGGCAATTAAGGCACAGATGTCCTGCACTAGCTGTACACGTACACTGCAGTATGAGCCACGCTGGAGTTCTACAGCAGAGCTAAGATCCAAAGCTGAGTCTACCAGGAAAAAATTAATACTTTAATCCACCCACTGTGCTGCTACAATTTGTATATTCCAAGTCCCCATGAAGGAACAATCTCAAATTTTGCTCAGGTTTTATGGACAACTTTTGTTTACCAGTTCCAAGATTGCTGTAATCGCCATTTTGGATTCTTAAATGAAAGCTATGTAGATTTTAACCCTAGAAAATTTTTCCTTAACAAGAAATTTTTCCAGGGTTTTATTTTTTTTTGGGGGGGGGGGAAATATGAGCATTCCCTTATAAAACATCAAAATGTTACCACAATGAAAACCAAATTCTTGTTTTGTAAAATAATTTTGAACAGTATCTGATTTGTCAACCAGTTCAATATTCACAACTATTCAAGCAAAAGGGTACAATGACCTTGTCCAGTAGCTGCATTAGCAGCTGTATGTTCAAAAACGTTATATCACAGAATCACAGAATGCTTGAGGTTGGAAGGGATCTCTGGAGGTCATCTGATGCGAGCCCCCTGCTCAAGCAAGGGCACCTAGAACTGGTTGCCCAGGACCACGTCCAGACAGCTTTTGAATATCTACAAGGATGGAGGCTCCACAACCTCCCTGGGCAACCTGTGCCAGTGCTCGGTCACCCTCACAGTGAAAAAATGTTTCCTGATGTTTGGACTGAACCTCCTGTGTTTCGGTTTGTGCCCATTGCCTCTGGTCCTGTCACAATAATACTTCCTCAGGGATTTCCTGAGCTATAGGTAGTTTCTATACATTTAGTAAGCTTCAGAGGATTTCCATGAACTTCCTCAGTCGCACCTTAAAGCCAGGCGACCTTTCAAAATCTACACCCATCATGTAATAAGGATTTTCCCACCTCATTTACATGTCATAGGGAAAAAGATCCTTCTTTTGCTTGTTTTAAACCTGCCTCCTACTAAATTCACTTGATACTTCCCAGTTCTTAAACTGCAACAAAGAAATATATCTTTCTACCAGCTCTATTCTTTATTGCATTTCTTCACTACTAATTAGCTTGGCACAGGTATCAGGCTTCCAGATCTGTAGTTTCCTTGGATTCCTAAGGAATGTTTCTTAAATAATGGTGTTTCATTTGACATGCCACACGTGAGGGTTAAATAATAACTGTTGTAATTCACCTATTTTAGCCTTGAGTTCCTTTTCACTATCCAATTTACCAGTTATTTCTGTGCCTCTTCAGTTAACAACCTAGTTTGTGACTGCTTCTCCAACTCCTCTCCTGTAAATAAATTTTCCAGTGCAGAAACCCTCCTGACAGTTTCTATAGCAAAAACTGATTCAAATCATTAATGTAGTTTTTCAGCAATGACCTTATCATTCTTGAATGCTCTTTGATTGTCTCTCAGCCCACCAATTCTCAGGCAGACTTCTTGAATCTGATGTGTTTGAAAAAAGGTTTATTTCAACTTCATACTCAGTCATTCAGAATCTTTTTCACATCTTTATTGCCGTTTA